AGCAGTCCAGCTCTCTACCGCTAGACCACTCCGTCCCAGTTTTGGCGTTATGTGACGTAAATGTGTGCACAGGCTGACACTGCATGTATCACTATGTCGACATACAGCTAAACTTTTGGTAGAGTAGACAAAAGGGGCTGTAGAAGGGTGGTCCAACTTTACGTGGTAAAGGTGTTAAACTTGTGTCTGTTAAACTTTGTGTCTGTTAAACTTGTGTCTGTTAAAGTTGTTTCTGTTAAGCTTGTGTTAGTTAAACTTGTGTCTGTTAAACTTGTGTCTGTTAATTTTTGTGTCTGTTAAACTTGTGTCTGTTTTAGTTGTGCTAATTAAACTTATTTCTGGTACACTTTTATCTATTAAACTTGCATTTTATATTTTAAACTAGTTTCAAACTCATAATCATTTCTGTGTAACCTGTGCATAAATGTAATAAATTACGTCTTTAATGACGTGTTAAACTTAGAGTTAAACCCTCAAATAGTTAAACCCTCACATCGCACATTAGACTTAGAGTTAAATCCTTACATCAGACTTAGAGTTAAACCCTCACATAAGTTAAACCCTCACATAAGACTTAAAGTTAAACCCTCACATAGTTAAACCTAGACATAACTTAGAGTTAAACCCTCACGTCGCATAGAGTTAAACCCTCACCTAGTTAAACCCTCACATCAGACCTAGCAGCGGAAGCATTGAGTCCAGACGCCGCAGACTTCTGGGTACTTTTGATGACGTCGATTACCGCGCCTCATGTTTATTCATATCCCGTGACGTTGACCCCTCGCGCCGCGATAATCTCGTTTCCTCCGATAACTCGCGAGGTTTCACGGAAGTCATGTACAGATACATACACAAGTCCAGAAAGTAAAGGAAAAAAAAAGCCACTGAATTAGGTTGAAGGGGATAAGAAAAGTTTCTAGACAAAAACTAACCTACATGTGTTGAAGGGGACAAGAAATATTTTCAGGCAAAAACTAACCTACATTTGTTGAAGGGAATAAGAAAAGTTTCAAGATAAAAATTAACTCAGGTTTGTAGAAATAATTCCACAAAAAAAAAAAAAAAAAAAAAAAAAAAAAAAATTAGCTGAGGTTCATAGAAATATTTCCCGACAAAACCGACGGAAGACGTCACGTGATACGATAAGCAAGGATATAAATAAACGTGCACTTGACGACCTACGAGTGAACTGACGCTTATGGTAGAACAGAAAAGTTGGAGCAGATAGACAAGGATTTAGACACGATCTGGGCAAACATTGACACCTTCTTGTGTTATATCAGGACCTCAATCGTGACTTTAGAACTACAGTATATCGCGATGTCCATCATGACTTCAGAACTACAGTATATCGCGATGTCGATCATGACTTTAGAATAACATTATATCGGGATGTCCATAATGACTAGAACTACTTTATATCGGGACCTTAACCGTGACATAAGACCTCTTGTCTACTTTATATACTTTTATCGAGACTCATCGAACAAATCTTATGAAACCTCTGACTCTATATCACCTACATCTTAAATTCTTGCGCCAAAAATGTGTTACATTAATCTATACAAGAAGCAGACGACAAGCAATGACTTATATCGAGCTTCTAACAGAACCAGACGACAGCAAACGCTGATGTCACACTATACCAGACGACACAAATGTGCTAACAAAACAAAACATGTTTGGCACAGGCAATAATTTGGTTTCGTTGCGTGACGCGTCACATAATTGGCGTCTGCTACATTTTACATTAGGATTGATCGTTAACATCGCGGCCTACAGCATGCAGGGGGAGGGTTGGTTGCAGCCTGACGTCATCAGCTCACCCTCCAGAACGCATGCGCAGTCGTAGATGCTGTCATGAAAGACTTTATCAAAAATCAAAGTGAATAGTCAAACTACAGGCTAAAGTCTGGCTAAAGTGGACTGAACTGTATTAGATCTTTCTCAAAGTGAAGAGTCACGCCATAAACCAATGTGAATGTTCCTTAAGTATTTTCCCCACGTAGCCAATCACCCCCACCCACTACCCACCCACCCACTATTTAAATACAATTTTTAAACCTCTGCCCGTTTGTGATCAATGATTCGCCATTTTGTTTAAGAGCGGCATTATCAAAGTTGTTTAGATATGTTTTTCCTTCTTGTAACCATGGTAACCAGGGCTAACAAAGATGGCGAAGGCGTGGGTGGTGACCACGGTAACAGTGGTAAACAAAGATGTAGTTGGGTGGGTGACAACATCAACCAAAGATGTAGTTGGCTTAGGGACAACATCAAAGATATAGTTGGATGGTTGACAACATCAAATATGTATTTGGGTGGGCAACATCAAAGATGTAGTTGGGTGGGGGACAACATCAATAAAAGATGTAGTTTGATGGACGACCAAACCAGATGAAGATTGAAACTAAAGCAAACAGACGTAGTATGGCGGTTGTCATGGTAACTATAGTAAACAACAACAACAACGGGAAAGTGGGATTATCTTTATGAAACATGAAATTAATTTTCTCAACCTCTTAGCTTATTACCTTCGATTTAACCTGCCTCCTTGATTTAGAATCCGATTATTTTCACTTTGGGTAGGCTGAGTCCGACCCCACACCACCCTCGTAACACCCAGTCCACACAATGCGGCCCCACCCCACCCAGATCAAAAGATGCGACCCCACCCTACCCCCTTAACCCACAGCCCACACAATGCGTCCCCACCCCACACAATGCGTCCCCACCCCACACAATGCGGCCCCACCCCACACGATGCGGCCCCACCCCACCCAGTCAACACGATGCGGCCCCACCCCACACAATGCGGCCCCACCCCACACGATGCGGCCCCACCCCACCCAGTCAACACGATGCGGCCCCACCCCACACAATGCGGCCCCACCCCACCCGTTTAACCCACAATCCAGACGATGCGGCCCCACCCCACCCCACACAATGCGGCCCCACCCCACACGATGCGGCCCCACCCCACCCGTTTAACCCACAATCCAGACGATGCGGCCCCACCCCACACGATGCGGCCCCACCCCACACCGTCTGGTTATTTTTGTCTCACCACAAGTGCTGGCGTCTGTATCATCCCCCACTCCCCCACCCTGTACACGATCCAGCTATTTTTATCAAACAGTTAGTTATGTCTGTCTCCACCCCCACCCCCACCCCCACCCCTCACATGATCTATCAAAGTTGTTCTGTCTGGCATCAGGTCGTCCCCCCCCCCCACCCCCAACTTTCACCAGACATGACATTTCTCGTCTTTTAATTGACACATTTTAAAAAAATGTCCCTGTTCTTTAAGATCTGTTGTTACATATCTACTGTGTATATTTTGTTATAAGCATTCTATTCGATTAAACAAATATTTCTTTTATAAAACACAAATAATTGTTTGAGTGTTGGCATATTTCACTAATTTGACCCAATAAACGAAAGTTCTGTTAAATGAATTGTTAAAAAACCTCTATAAACAAGCGTGCCAAGCCTATGAGAATTCGATTACCCCAGCTTAAATTTTTTAAAAAGAAATTATCCCCCACAATTTGAGTCGAAGGCCGTTTTTAACTATTATAATGTGTCCAAGAGAGGCTGTTATTGATTGGGTATTTAAAATTAGCACTGACCTATTTAAACACACCAATCAGCATTTCTCCTAGTGACCCAGATTTTTTAATCTATTTATACAAAACTGTGCGCAGAGATCGGATCAATACAAGTGATGGTCAGATGACTGCACTGTCGTCACCGTAGGCTGTTGACACCAACCCTGTAAATCGCAGGGCACAGTCAGCCCATAATCTACACACAGCCTTTAATGTTTACTTTTACTTCACGCTTTAGGTGGCAGACTTCACATTTTATAAAGGGTGGTGTTGACTTTTGGGGTTTTGGGAGTGAGTGGGAAAGAGGGCTTGATAGATGGTAGATTCTGTACCTAGAATGATAACAGATTTGGAAAAAACTATTTCTGTCCTGGCTAATTTGACAACCGATATGTTGAATGGGCATCTATTTAGTGGGTAATTTAGAAAATTCTGATTTTAAATAAGAAACGAAATATATCTTCTCGTGCAATAAAGTTCGTGTTTTGTCAAATTTTTTTTGTCATCAATGAAAAAAAAAAGTTTAATCTGGTTGAAGAGAAATATTGTCACGTGATTCAGGCGCCATCTTTTCTTTTATCTCAAGGATTAGGCATGAGGAAATTAAATTTGGCGCAAATTTTTTTGATCATGCATCATATTGATTCGCCGTTTGAACCTGGTCAAAATAAAACAAATAGCAACATAAAAAACAGGGAGAACGTGTCACCAATGTTTTGTCTCACCATTGTAATGTCTCACCCTGGCAATATTTCACCAAGCAACCGTCTCACCGTGATATTTCACCATTCTAATGCCCTACCATGATTTTGTCTCACCTTGATTTTATCTCATCATTCAAATGTCTCACCATTCCAATATCTAGCAATGCCTTTGTCTCACAATCCCCATATCACACCATGCCTTTGTATCCAGATGATTTTGCCTTACATAATAATATTATCGCACCCTCATTATCTTGTCTCACCATGAATTAGTCTCACTATGCTTTGTCTCACTATCATTTTGTCTCACCATGAATTTTACCTTACCGTCCTATTATCTCACAATGATAATGTCTCACCATGACTTTGTCTCACCATTCCATTGTCTCACCATCAGTATCTTGTCTCACCATGATTTTGTCTCACCATGACTTTGTCTCACCATTCCATTGTCTCACCATGACTTTGTCTCACCATTCCATTGTCTCACCATGACTTTGTCTCACCATTCCATTGTCTCACCATGACTTTGTCTCACCATTCCATTGTCTCACCATGACTTTGTCTCACCATTCCATTGTCTCACCATGACTTTGTCTCACCATTCCATTGTCTCACCATGACTTTGTCTCACCAATCCATTGTCTCACCATTCCATTGTCTCACCATTCCATTGTCTCACCAGGCCAATGGTTCCCGTGAAGACGCTGACTATCAAGTGACCAACCCTGACAATGAGACTGACCTGTGTCCAGCACTGCCTACTTCTGGCACTGATGACCTCTGTGACGTTCGCCAAAAAACCAAACAAGAGCAAGAAACAAGACTCCAGTAAGTGCCTCAGTCAACTGTATCAGATTAGCCGTTGGTTTAGCGGACTCAGTCAACCGTATTAGATTAGCCGTTGGTGTAGTGTGTCCAGTCAACCGTATCAGATTAGCCGTTGGTTTAATTTGCTCAGTCAACCGTATAAGATTAGCCGTTGGTTTAGCAGACTCAGTCAACTGTATCAGATGAGCCGTTGTGTCGGGTTGGTTTAATGTGCTCAGTCAACTGTATCAGATGAGCCGTTGGGTCGGGTTGGTTTAGTGTGCTCAACAAACAACAACAACCAAATAATGTTTATGAAGTGGTACGGCTAACCCAAACGTATCACTTACTCATGTATACATTCCTCGTGTTATAGGTTCAGACTAGGCTTAGATCTGGAATACCTAATGAAGTGACATCTTTTCTGCACGCAATAGCGTTAAGACTTAAGGCAAGGGAAAAGCAATAGCTTGGATGCTAAGTCCAGCGGATAAAATATTAAAATGTGTCGTTTCTGTAACAACTAAAGCTATGCAGTCAAACACCAACACATTTAGCACCGAAGTACAACTTACGCTTCAGCAACAAACACTACGACCTGCACCCCAATACCCACGCCAATGTGACAAACACCCACGCCCCAATACCCACGCCCCAACACACACGCCCCAGTACCCACGCCCCAACACCACTGCACCCACAGTCGTGTCCCAACACCCACACCCCAACCCCCACCCCCCAACACACACGCCCCAATACCCACGCCCCAACCACTACATCCACAGTCGTGTCCCAACACCCACACCCCAACCCCCACCCCCCAACACACACGCCCCAATACCCACGCCCCAACCACTACATCCACAGTCGTGTCCCAACACCCCAACCCCCACCCCCCAACACTCACGCCCCAATACCCACGCCAATGTGACAAACACCCACGCCCCAATACCACTGCACCCACAGTCATGCCCCAATACCCACGCCCCAAAACCACTGCACCCACAGTCATGCCCCAATACCCACGCCCCAAAACCACTGCACCCACAGTCATGCCCCAATACCCACGCCCCAAAACCACTGCACCCACAGTCACGCCCCAATACCCACGCCCCAACCACTACACCCACACTCACGCCCCAATACCCACGCCCCAAAACCACTGCACCCACAGTCGTGTCCCAACACCCACACCCCAACCCCCACCCCCCAACACTCACGCCCCAATACCCACGCCCCAAAACCACTGCACCCACAGTCATGTCCCAACACCCACACCCACACCCCACCACCTACGCCCCAACCACTACACCCACACTCACGCCCCAATACCCACGCCCCAAAACCACTGCACCCACACTCACGCCCCAATACCCACGCCCCAAAACCACTGCACCCACAGTCATGTCCCAACACCCACACCCCACCACCTACGCCCCAACCACTACACCCACACTCACGCCCCAATACCCACGCCCCAAAACCACTGCACCCACAGTCACGCCCCAATACCCACGCCCCAAAACCACTACACCCACACTCACGCCCCAATACCCACGCCCCAACCACTACACCCACCACCCACGCCCCAACACCACTGCACCCACATCCACGCCCCAACTCCCACGCCCAACACGCCCCCGCACCAACGTTCAGCAACCACCACTCTATCACCAACTCCCACGCTATCTGATGTAGCAGGTAAGAACACCAATCAATACCCACCTACGTCATAGAGTCGTAAATTGCCACCAATTACCAGAGTTAATTCATGTACACAACATAGACCACGTATGACAAGCTCCCGGCTATTTTTAGCATTATCGAGTTATCGACGCAACTTTAACGCGGAATCTCACAGTCATCAAAAATTGAAGTTTTTAATATTAAAAAAATAAATTTATACAGGAAGTGCTTCCGTTCAATTAGAAATTACGTATGTAGGCGACTGGTTGCTATAGTAACGGTAAAATGTGTAACAAATCCTAAAATGGGGTGTTTAAGATTTTGATTTTTAGCGTTCAGTTTTCTAGTTTCAGTTATTGTAAAGGTACCCCGGAAGTGTATATGTGTTGCTAGTTTGAAAATTGATACACGCAGTTTATCCAATCCTATTTTCTCGGGGTCATTGAACTATTGCGTGGTTACATTGTGTGGGTGATGTATGTTAAATACTAGATTGTGGCGTGTAGCCAGCTGTATGGCTAAAAAACCGCCACCCTAAAATGTCACGACACTGTTCAATATGAAATAAAACAGTGGTGGTAGCACTATTGTTTTGTAATACAAAATATACGTTTATAACCTGTAACACTGTATTATTGTTTTGTAATACAAAACATACATTTATAACCGGTAACACCGTATTGTTGTTTTGTAATACAAAATATACTTTTATAACCGGTAACACTAGTGCTTATAACAGAAAAGAAATAAAGTTAACTGTGTGTTCTCTGACCACAGTAAATATGAAATTGCTGGAACATTAGGTTCGCTGAGAAGGCAGAAAGAAGGGAATCGGTTAAATAACAAAGTTCACATTTATGTGTTATGGGTGTAAATGTTAGAATAAAGCTCAATGATGTATACTTAAGTTCGAAACATTCAATCCCCAAAGTGTGATTACAAGTAAGAATTCCAAATCATCCAAAATTAGCTTCATTAATTTTCGATTTATCACAATAAGGCCAAAAGGTGCATAATGAGTGAATCTTTATTTGGCGGTTCTGTTTGACGTATTTGAAACTGTCGTTGTTTAGTTGAATAACGAATAGATCTAGTCATGTTTTAGTTGAGTTGAATGAACTATGATTGTATGGTAGTTGAGTTAAGTGGCCTATGATTGTATGTAAGTTAAATTGAATGACCTATGATTGTATGTAAGTTAAATTGAAGGAATTATTATTGTATGTAAGTTAAGTTGAATGACCTATGATTGTATGTAAGTTAAGTTGAATGACCTATGATTGTATGTTAGTTAAGTTGAATGAACTATGACAGTTGAGTTGATTAATCGTGTTGCGGTGATAGCTACACACATATCAACTTAGTTCGAAAAGACATTTCTTTTTTATTTATTTTTCTAGATAAAAAGTGACAATAAATCATTCAATATTTTTTCCCTCTTGAACCTTTTTTTATAGCCAGTAAAAACGGCTTCATTAAGCAGATTTATTTTGGTATAAACGAGACGGCGGATTGTTTAGATTTACTTAATCAAGCAAACAAGTGTGTGTTGTTTTAAAAAAATATCAGGCTGTTATCAGCTATGTGCAGTTTGTACAGCATTTTTTGTCTGTTCAAAAAATCTAGTTGTGTGCTCATTTCATCTGGTTGTTTGTTCATATCGTCTGTTGTTTGTTCATATCGTCTGTTGTTTGTTCATATCGTCTGGTTATTTGTTCATATCGTCTGTTGTTTGTTCATATCGTCTGGTTGTTTGTTCATATCGTCTGTTGTTTGTTCATATCGTCTGGTTATTTGTTCATATCGTCTGGTTATTTGTTCATATCGTCTGGTTGTTTGTTCATATCGTCTGGTTGTTTGTTCATATCGTCTGGTTATTTGTTCATATCGTCTGTTGTTTGTTCATATCGTCTGGTTGTTTGTTCATATCGTCTACTTGAATGTTCATATCGTCTGGTTGTTTGTTCAAATCGTCTGTTGTTTGTTCATATCGTCTGGTTCATATCGTTAGGTATTACGGCCTGTCCTAAAGATATTGATTGTCAAAAGACTACCCGTGCAGATCAATTAGAAACGGTTGATTATTTTTATCGATTAGAGCTCAATAACACAAACTGTCGCACGCATCTCTTTCGTCTGTTCTCCACCCCATCTACCACTTCCTTTCTGCACTCCTTCACCCCTGCTTCACTCCCCTATCCATTACACCTCCTTGCTTCACTCCCCTATCCATTACACCTCCCTGCTTCACTTCCCTATCCATTACACCTCCTTGCTTCACTCCCCTATCCATTACACCTCCCTGCTTCACTCCCCTATCCTTACACCTCCTTGCTTCACGCCCCTATCCACTACACCTCCCTGCCCCACTCCCCTATCCATTACACCTCCCTGCCCCACTCCCCTATCCATTACACCTCCCTGCCCCACTCCCCTATCCATTACACCTCCCTGCCCCACTCCCCTATCCATTACACCTCCCTGCCCCACTCCCCTATCCATTACACCTCCCTGCCCCACTCCCCTATCCATTACACCTCCCTGCCACACTCCCCTATCCATTACACCTCCCTGCCACACTCCCCTATCCATTACACCTCCCTGCCACACTCCCCTATCCATTACACCTCCCTGCCACACTCCCCTATCCATTACACCTCCCTGCTTCACTCTCTTTCCATTACTCCTATTAGCTCCACTCTCTCTCCCCCCCCCAATAATTCTCGTTTTATCAAATTCTTCGGTGGGGGAGGGGAGGGAATGGTACTTAAACTAGCAGCCCCCCCCCCTTTTTCCCCCCAATTGAAATACCTGAAAGAAACCCTGTCAGCTCCCACTATTGTCTAAACAGTCCAGAGACCACACGAAAGGCGAGACTAAAGTCCACTGTTGGAGACCGATGACATTTGATGACAACATGACCTTAGCAACGACCGGCGGCTAGCGACAGGCTGACCTACACATGCCGTTGCTAGGGGCAGTGGTTTAGGGGAAACGTACTAAGGAGATGTTGAAACAATGGCCCAGGTCTAGCGAACGTTAAACTTTGAATATTTTGTTTTTTTCTTCCTGGAAAATGTTACTTACCTAGTATGTGTAAATTGTTTTAAATGTCTAGTTTTTGCATTTATAAAATAATACAATTGTATCTTGTTCACACAACCGAAATGTAGACATAAATAATAAATATTTCAATGCTATACGTAGACACAAATATAGTCCTAGAACCACCCTATGTCCTCCCCAGGATAAACCTACAAATGTCCTCCCCAGGATAAACCTACAAATGTCCTCCCCCAGGATAAACCTACAAATGTCCTCCCCTAGGATAAACCTACAAATGTCCTCCCTAGGATAAACCTACAAATGTCCTCCCTAGGATAAACCTACAAATGTCCTCCCTAGGATAAACCTACAAATGTCCTCCCTAGGATAAACCTACAAATGTCCTCCCCTAGGATAAACCTACAAATGTCCTCCCCAGGATAAACCTACAAATGTCCTCCCCTAGGATAAACCTACAAATGTCCTCCCTAGGATAAACCTACAAATGTTCTCCCTAGGATAAACCTACAAATGTCCTCCCCTAGGATAAACCTACAAATGTCCTCCCCAGGATAAACCTACAAATATCCTCCCCTAGGATAAACCTACAAATGTCCTCCCTAGGATAAACCTACAAATGTCCTCCCCAGGATAAACCTACAAATATCCTCCCCAGGATAAACCTACAAATGTCCTACCGTCCCCAGAAAAAGTCCCCCTCACCTGGAAAGAGGACTCCACGCCAGGCTCTAAGAAGACCCAGATAACAGTGGCTGAGGAGAAGCCCTTCACCTTGGACTGTCGGACTTCCGGTCACCCCAAGCCCAAGATCACGTGGTTCAGGAACAACCTCGAGCTGAAGAGCTCAGATATTGAGGTAGGCCTACATATTCTCGTGATTGCTTACATCCGTATAATAGCACTCTATACTTACATCTTACATCAGCATTGTGTTTACAGCTGTGTGTAATCACATAATCTTTTACCATAGCACGAGTCAATAAATGATCACATTTTATATTTAGATCAGATTGCTTCCAAACATGGCTGACATTTATATTTTATCTTACAATTCTCGGTGTTTGTCTCAATTGAAAAGTTTTCCAAGTTTTGTTTATGTAAAAAAATTCAAAATTTTGTCAACTATAATATTAGTCAAATATTTGCCTACTATAAAAATTAGTCCTAATTTGTTTAACTTTGAAACTATTCCTAATTTTATCGACTATAAAATTTGTTGAATAATTGTCTACTATAAAATTTTTCAAATAATTGTCTACTATAAAGTAGTCAAAATTGTGTTTACTATGAAATAAGTCCAAGTTTTGCGTACACTAAACTATGCCTGTAACGATATCTGAAAAGGTAACTGTTTTTCTCAAAACGATATCTTTACCTTACTTCTCTAATGGAAAAGGTTGTAAGATACATCAATATGACAGGGCGCCAACATCTGCCCTTATCTTGAGGAAACAGATAACTATTCTATCTGCAACCATTTCCTACATCAGGGGAAACGAATCATGTAATCACTAAAGAAGTATACGCGCTGTGGAATATTACAACAACGGCCAGACTTTGCTAACAAAAAGTATGATACATGAAAGAAATAAGACCCATTGCTTATTTAGGTGAAGAATTCTATTCTGACGGTAAAGGCCATGACCGTTGACCTTGGAGGTAACTACACGTGCAAGGCTGTTAACAAACATGGCGATATCAGTTGGACAGTCAAGGTCGATGTTCAAGGTCAGTTGCAGGGTTCATGTTTCATTAGAGGATGGTTTTTACGATTCGTACGTTTGTTACGTCCCAAGCATGAAAACCTTAGTTTGCTATAAGAATACATGTATTTTTGATCATTGACTCTCCTCAATAAATCTGATGTTTGGGTTTTCTTCCAGCGAGAAAGTGGCCTTTGATCATTGACTCTCCTCAATAAATCTGATCTTTTTGTTTTCTCCCAGCGAGAAAGTGGCCTTTGATCATTGACTCTCCTCAATAAATCTGATCTTTTTGTTTTCTCCCAGCGAGAAAGTGGCCTTTGATCATTGACTCTCCTCAATAAATCTGATCTTTTTGTTTTCTCCCAGCGAGAAAGTGGCCTTTGATCATTGACTCTCCTCAATAAATCTGATCTTTTTGTTTTCTCACAGCGAGAAAGTGGCCTTTGATCATTGACTCTCCTCAATAAATCTGATATTTTTGTTTTCTCCCAGCGAGAAAGTGGCCTTTGATCATTGACTCTCCACAATAAATCTGATATTTTTGTTTTCTCCCAGCGAGAAAGTGGCCTTTGATCATTGACTCTCCTCAATAAATCTGATCTTTTTGTTTTCTCCCAGCGAGAAAGTGGCCTTTGATCATTGACTCTCCTCAATAAATCTGATCTTTTTGTTTTCTCCCAGCAAGAAAGTGGCCTTTGATCATTGACTCTCCTCAATAAATCTGATCTTTTTGTTTTCTCCCAGCGAGAAAGTGGCCTTTGATCATTGACTCTCCTCAATAAATCTGATCTTTTTGTTTTCTCCCAGCGAGAAAGTGGCCTTTGATCATTGACTCTCCTCAATAAATCTGATATTTTTGTTTTCTCCCAGCGAGAAAGTGGCCTTTGATCATTGACTCTCCACAATAAATCTGATATTTTTGTTTTCTCCCAGCGAGAAAGTGGCCTTTGATCATTGACTCTCCTCAATAAATCTGATCTTTTTGTTTTCTCCCAGCGAGAAAGTGGCCTTTGATCATTGACTCTCCTCAATAAATCTGATCTTTTTGTTTTCTCCCAGCGAGAAAGTGGCCTTTGATCATTGACTCTCCTCAATAAATCTGATCTTTTTGTTTTCTCCCAGCGAGAAAGTGGCCTTTGATCATTGACTCTCCTCAATAAATCTGATCTTTTTGTTTTCTCCCAGCGAGAAAGTGGCCTTTGATCATTGACTCTCCTCAATAAATCTGATATTTTTGTTTTCTTCCAGCGAGAAAGTGGCCTTTGATCATTGACTCTCCTCAATAAATCTGATATTTTTGTTTTCTCCCAGCGAGAAAGTGGCCTTTGATCATTGACTCTCCACAATAAATCTGATATTTTTGTTTTCTCCCAGCGAGAAAGTGGCCTTTGATCATTGACTCTCCTCAATAAATCTGATCTTTTTGTTTTCTCCCAGCGAGAAAGTGGCCTTTGATCATTGACTCTCCTCAAAAAATCTGATATTTTTGTTTTCTCCCAGCGAGAAAGTGGCCTTTGATCATTGACTCTCCACAATAAATCTGATATTTTTGTTTTCTTCCAGCGAGAAAGTGGCCTTTGATCATTGACTCTCCTCAATAAATCTGATCTTTTTGTTTTCTCCCAGCGAGAAAGTGGCCTTTGATCATTGACTCTCCTCAATAAATCTGATAATTTTGTTTTCTTCCAGCGAGAAAGTGGCCTTTGATCATTGACACTCCTCAATAACTGACATTTCTGTTTTCTTCCAGCGAGAAAGTGGCCTTTGATCATTGACTCTCCTCAATAACTGACATTTCTGTTTTCTCCCAGCGAGAAAGTGGCCTTTGATCATTGACTCTCCTCAATAAACCTGACATTTGTGTTTTCTTCCAGCGAGAAAGTGGCCTTTGATCATTGACTCTCCTCAATAAATCTGATAATTTTGTTTTCTTCCAGCGAGAAAGTGGCCTTTGATCATTGACTCTCCTCAATCTATCTGATATTTTTGTTTTCTTCCAGCGAGAAAGTGGCCTTTGATCATTGACTCTCCTCAATAAATCTGATAATTTTGTTTTCTTCCAGCGAGAAAGTGGCCTTTGATCATCGACTCTCCTCAAAATGTGACCGCCTTTAACGGCTCCACCGCCAGCTTCAGCTGTAGTGCACTCAATGACCCCGATGCCACCATCAAGTGGAGCAGAAGGAAGGAGAAGCTCGGGGATGATGCGTCCGATAAGCAATGGGAGGTACGTGCACATCATCACCACTACATGTGTACACCATCACCACAACATATACATCATCACCACTACATGTGTACATCATCATTACTACATGTGTACGTCATCACCACTACATGTGTACACCATCAACACAACATGTACATCATCACCACTATACGTGCACATCATCACCACTACATGTGTACATCATCACCACAACATGTACATCATCACCACAACATGTGTACGTCATCACCACAACATGTACATCATCACCACTAGATGTGTACATCATCATCATTATATGTGTATATCATCATCACTATGTGTACATCTTCACCACTACACGTCTACATCATCATCACTACATGTGTACATCATCATCGCTATGTGTACATCTTCACCACTACATGTGTACATCATCAACACACTATACCACAACAATTATGCATAATTGCAACCTGAGTATACTCAATCAACACTACACATATGCATTAATTCAACATGTATTTATAATCACCACATACAAACAGCATCACTAAAGAAATATACAAATAACCACCAAAAGGATATACAACACCGTTCTGAGTAAATATAATCATGACAACAATGGTAAACCATCACCATACGTGTACAGCATAACCACCAAACATATACAGCATCATAATTATAAAACTCCACCACCACCACAAATATACACTGTCACCACAAGAACACAGCACCCAACATTAAACATTACCAGGTGTATACCACAATATAAACACTCTAAATACAACAGCCGAACGTGAGTACTTCATTATTCCAGACACTGAACGTTCAGGGCGATCCCAGGCTCCTGACCCTGACCAACGTGAGTAAAGCACACGAGGGGGAGTACCAGTGCACGGCAGGAAACGTGTGGGGCATCCGGCACAACTTCGCCTGGCTGACTGTCATAGAGCCCATCATCTCGTACGTCGGTAAGTCCACACGTCTCTTTTCAAACGTTTTCAAACCTTTTCTCTTCCAAGTGATTCATCGAGGTTTTCTGGGTTCGAGTCTCTTACACGTCCCTGAGTCCACTCAGCTCTAATGAGTACCTGGCTCAAATTCGGGAATTCAAAGGCGGCTGGGCATTGTGCTGACTAATATATCCTTTAGTATGCCGGTGTCATTGAAAGAGATATATTCTACTTCATCCGCCCCATATTACTTGGTTACCAAAATATGGCGAAAAATCAAGTCTTTTTGGACAGGTTTCATCAACATTGGAGAAACAAAATACGTACATTGGAGTCTGTCCCCTCACATATACACTTATGTTTATTTTTTGTGTAGAAGCTGGTGGTATAAATGGTAAAGTAAATTGTAAAGTAACGGGTAGTGTCAGTTTATGACGTATTCTTCAGTAGTTGGTTATTTACATGTACCGACGTGACATTAACAGTGTGAGTTAGCTAACACTACCTTTACACTGTGAACTACCTATCGACATTACCTACACAATGTAAACTGCCTACAACATCCTCCTCTAACCTACACAATGTAAACTGCCCACAACATCCTACTCTAACCTAAACAATGTAAACTGCCTACAACATCCTCCTCTAACCTACACAATGTAAACTGCCTACAACATCCTCCTCTAACATACACAATGTAAACTGCCTACAACATCCTCCTCTAACCTACACAATGTAAACTGCCTACAACATCCTCCTCTAACATACACAATGTAAACTGCCTACAACATCCTCCTCTAACCTACACAATGTAAACTGCCTACAACATCCTCCTCTAACCTACACAATGTAAACTGACCACAACATCCTCCTCTAACCTACACAATGTAAACTGCCCACAACATCCTCCTCTAACCTACACAATGTAAACTGACCACAACATCCTCCTCTAACCTACACAATGTAAACTGCCTACAACATCCTCCTCTAACCTACACAATGTAAACTGCCTACAACATCCTCCTCTAACCTACACAATGTAAACTGCCTAGAACATCCTCCTCTAACCTACACAATGTAAACTGCCTACAACATCCTCCTCTAACCTACACAATGTAAACTGCCTACAACATCCTCCTCTAACCTACACAATGTAAACTGCCTACAACATCCTCCTCTAACCTACACAATGTAAACTGCCTACAACATCCTCCTCTAACCTACACAATGTAAACTGCCTACAACATCCTCCTCTAACCTACACAATGTAAACTGCCTACAACATCCTCCTCTAACCTACACAATGTAAACTGCCTGCCTCCTCTAACCTACACAATGTAAACTGCCTTCAACATCCATCTCTAACTTACACAATGTAAACTGCCTACAACATCCTCCTCTAACCTACACAATGTAAACTGCCTACAACATCCTCCTCTAACCTACACAATGTAAACTGCCTACAACATCCTCCTCTAACCTACACAATGTAAACTGCCTAGAACATCCTCCTCTAACCTACACAATGTAAACTGCCTACAACATCCTCCTCTAACCTACACAATGTAAACTGCCTACATCCCCCTCTAACCTACACAATGTAAACTGCCTACAACATCCTCCTCTAACCTACACAATGTAAACTGCCTACAACATCCCCCTCTAACCTACACAATGTAAACTGCCTACAACATCCTACTCTAACCTACACAATGTAAACTGCCTACAACATCCTCCTCTAACCTACACAATGTAAACTGCCTACAACATCCTCCTCTAACCTACACAATGTAAACTGCCTACAACATCCTCCTCTAACCTACACAATGTAAACTGCCTACAACATCCTCCTCTAACCTACACAATGTAAACTGCCTACAACATCCATCTCTAACTTACACAATGTAAACTGACCACAACATCCTCCTCTAACCTACACAATGTAAACTGACCACAACATCCTCCTCTAACCTACACAATGTAAACTGACCACAACATCCTCCTCTAACCTACACAATGTAAACTGCCTACAACATCCTCCTCTAACCTACACAATGTAAACTGCCCACAACATCCTCCTCTAACCTACACAATGTAAACTGCCTACAACATCCTCCTCTAACCTACACAATGTAAACTGCCTACATCCTCCTCTAACCTACACAATGTAAACTGCCTACATCCTCCTCTAACCTACACAATGTAAACTGCCTACAACATCCTCTTCTAACCTACACAATGTAAACTGCCTACATCCTCCTCTAACCTACACAATGTAAACTGCCTACAACATCCTCCTCTAACCTACACAATATAAACTGCCCACAACATCCCCCTCTAACATACACAATGTAAACTGCCTGCCTCCTCTAACCTACACAATGTAAACTGCCTACAACATCCTCCTCTAACCTACACAATGTAAACTGCCTACAACATCCTCCTCTAACCTACACAATGTAAACTGACCACAACATCCCCCTCTAACCTACACAATGCAAGCTGCCTACAACATCCTCCTCTAACCTACACAATGTAAACTGACCACAACATCCTCCTCTAACCTACACAATGTAAACTGCCTACAACATCCTCCTCTAACCTACACAATGTAAACTGCCTACAACATCCTCCTCTAACCTACACAATGTAAACTGCCTGCCTCCTCTAACCTACACAATGTAAACTGCCTACAACATCCTCCTCTAACCTACACAATGTAAACTGCCTACAACATCCTCTAACCTACACAATGTAAACTGACCACAACATCCTCCTCTAACCTACACAATGTAAACTGCCTACAACATCCTCCTCTAACCTACACAATGTAAACTGCCTACAACATCCTCCTCTAACTCTAACCTACACAATGTAAACTGCCTACAACATCCTCCTCTAACCTACACAATGTAAACTGCCTACAACATCCTCCTCTAACTCTAACCTACACAATGTAAACTGCCTACAACATCCTCCTCTAACCTACACAATGTAAACTGCCTACAACATCCTCCTCTAACTCTAACCTACACAATGTAAACTGCCTACAACATCCTCCTCTAACCTACACAATGTAAACTGCCTACAACATCCTCCTCTAACTCTAACCTACACAATGTAAACTGCCTACAACATCCTCCTCTAACCTACACAATGTAAACTGCCTACAACATCCTCCTCTAACCTACACAATGTAAACTGCCTACAACATCCTCCTCTAACTCTAACCTACACAATGTAAACTGCCTACAACATCCTCCTCTAACCTACACAATGTAAACTGCCTACAACATCCTCCTCTAACTCTAACCTACACAATGTAAACTGCCTACAACATCCTCCTCTAACCTACACAATGTAAACTGCCTACAACATCCTCCTCTAACCTACACAATGTAAACTGCCTACAACATCCTCCTCTAACCTACACAATGTAAACTGCCTACAACATCCTCCTCTAACCTACACAATGTAAACTGCCTACAACATCCCCCTCTAACCTACACAATGTAAACTGCCCACAACATCCTCCTCTAACCTACACAATGTAAACTGCCTACAACATCCTCCTCTAACCTACACAATGTAAACTGCCTACAACATCCTCCTCTAACTCTAACCTACACAATGTAAACTGCCTACAACATCCTCCTCTAACCTACACAATGTAAACTGCCTACAACATCCTCCTCTAACCTACACAATGTAAACTGCCTACAACATCCTCCTCTAACCTACACAATGTAAACTGCCTGCCTCCTCTAACCTACACAATGTAAACTGCCTACAGCATCCTCCTCTAACCTACACAATGTAAACTGCCTACAGCATCCTCCTCTAACCTACACAATGTAAACTGCCTACAACATCCTCCTCTAACCTACACAATGTAAACTGCCTACAACATCCTCCTCTAACCTACACAATGTAAACTGCCTACAACATCCTCCTCTAACTCTAACCTACACAATGTAAACTGCCTAGAACATCCTCCTCTAACCTACACAATGTAAACTGCCTACAGCATCCTCCTCTAACCTACACAATGTAAACTGCCTACAACATCCTCCTCTAACCTACACAATGTAAACTGCCTACAACATCCTCCTCTAACCTACACAATGTAAACTGCCTACAACATCCTCCTCTAACCTACACAATGTAAACTGCCTGCCTCCTCTAACCTACACAATGTAAACTGCCTACAACATCCTCCTCTAACCTACACAATGTAAACTGCCTGCCTCCTCTAACCTACACAATGTAAACTGCCTACAACATCCTCCTCTAACCTACACAATGTAAACTGCCTACAACATCCTCCTCTAACCAACACAATGTAAACTGCCTACAACATCCTCCTCTAACCTACACAATGTAAACTGCCTACAACATCCTCCTCTAACCTACACAATGTAAACTGCCTACAACATCCTCCTCTAACCTACACAATGTAAACTGCCTACAACATCCTCCTCTAACCTACACAATGTAAACTGCCTACAACATCCTCCTCTAACCAACACAATGTAAACTGCCTACAACATCCTCCTCTAACCTACACAATGTAAACTGCCTACAACATCCTCCTCTAACCTACACAATGTAAACTGCCTACAACATCCTCCTCTAACCTACACAATGTAAACTGCCTACAACATCCTCCTCTAACCTACACAATGTAAACTGCCTAGAACATCCTCCTCTAACCTACACAATGTAAACTGCCTACAACATCCTTTTCTAACTCTAACCTACACAATGTAAACTGCCTAGAACATCCTCCTCTAACCTACACAATGTAAACTGCCTAGAACATCCTCCTCTAACCTACACAATGTAAACTGCCTACAACATCCTCCTCTAACTCTAACCTACACAATGTAAACTGCCTAGAACATCCTCCTCTAACCTACACAATGTAAACTGCCTACAACATCCCCCTCTAACTCTAACCTACACAATGTAAACTGCCTACAACATCCTCCTCTAACCTACACAATGTAAACTGCCTA